CCTTAAATATAGTTAAAATTTACTAAAAACAGTGTGAAAACACTTTTTATATTCGATCACTAGGTCAACCGGGAACGCCAGGAAAAAAATTGGTCTCCCCCCCCCCCCCAGGGTGTCCGAAAAAATCCCGCGGCCCCCTAGCCGGCCGCAGATTTTTAAGATTTAGCTACCTATCGATAATTCTCGGTAAGGCGAGTCCAGCGCGGCTCTTCGATTCTGAACAATTTCAAATTTTTCTACCATTTACTATTATTTTTGCGAAACGCGCGGATTTTCTCATGTTTTTCTCAAAAAGGGGGGGTTTTTCTTACAAAAATCGCAATTTAGGAATTTTGACGCCTTTCCTGGCAGCCCAACGACAGCTTCTTGCAAGCAATTTGCGAAAACACAGCTTGGATAGCGCTGAAACCGGCTAAATTGCGTTTTGGACAAAAAAAGCGTGTCCTTTTGCGTGAAAAATGCCGAAAATCGAGCAAAAAAGTTCGAGATTTCAAAAATCGGCGAAACGTGCCGGACTCGCTTTTCTGAGAGCTTTTGATAGATAGCTAATTCGTCAAAATCCGACAGGTCTGCGGACGTCTATGGATCTGTCTTGTTTCTCTTTTGCTTATTCATTCCTACCCGTCAGGCATTAATCGCAGATCTCGATGATAACCCGCGCCACCCAATGTAGAACCCCTAAAATATAGATGCTATTCAAAAAAAAAGTGCCATTACCTAATTTTAAAATGAATGTATGGAGATATTGTATTGACGGAGAGCTTGACGAAAATCCAGAAATCATCCATGGTGAAGTCATCCAAGGCCCATCTGACCAGAACTTTCATACCATCTTGTGGGCCCAAGGATGATACCTAGAATCGCCGGAGCGGGATAACAAATTAATCAACTGGCCTCCTCCCCCGGTTTCTCTCACCTCCTGCATTTCCGGTTCCGATGAGACACCGTGGATCCAGATTTTGTTGTAAAAGCCGTTGATGTAGAAGTAGAGGGCTGGTTGGATGGAGAAGTGCTGAACGGAGTCGGATAGATGATCAGAGAAATTAATCTTCCATAAAATCCAGCGCCGAAAATCGTCTGGGGGTTAGTGGCAACGCCTGCCAATTTGACGATCCGGGTTCGAATCCCCGGATCGAGACAGGCTGTTCGCTTTTTGCGCCAAACTCCTAGCAACATCGGCCATCTGGCAATTCGGTTCTCGGGCGGAAATACCTTGGAAGTGGCGCGTAGATTGACCTTCTGATGGAATCGGACATGGTTGTTGACGAGCTGTTGTTGTGCTGGAGTCAAGTTCCGATAGGGAAACTTTCTCGCGTATCGCCAGACTCCCTGGTATTCAGATCGGTGGCTATATATGACGTTTTTAACGGTTTCGTTGAGAGAATGGCTGTGTTGTCTGGCAGCCAATCGAGGGGAAATCACCTGAAAGACATCTCATCATAGCAGCGAATAGGTGTCCCCATCGCCGAACAGCCGGATTGCTGAAAGCTTGTTTGTTGGATTGGAAGGGTGAGGGGGCCCGGGGTGGGGGGAGGATGATTATATGACCAGCCGATTACAGCCGCTTCGCGACTGTAACCGGCTGGACTTCGGGCTACCCTCCATATTATACACCACCACATTTCATCCCTACCTTACGCTGATGCCTTCATGGCAATATCTACACTGATGGCTTCAGTTACCCCCCATGGCTGAAAACCCCTTCAAAAACTACCTACATACCCTCCTGATGGCTTCAGATACACCCATGGCTGAAATCCCCTTCAAAAACTACCTAAATACCTTCCTGATGGCTTCAGATACACCCCATAGCCGAAATCCCGGTCAAAAACTACTTAGATTTCATCCCGATACTTTAAATGATTTAAATAATAAATTAACATAATTAAAAAGTATTAAAAGTATTAAAGTAACTTAAAAAGCTATCTGGGCGCGGGAAGGGGCCTGGGGAAGAGGGGCGAAGGGAAAGGGGGCGTGGCCTCCCGGGAGAGGGGCCCCCACTCGTTTTATTAAGGCGCCACTTTCAAAGTTAATTTTAATAATTTAAATTAAAACTTTTTCATAATTTTTTTATCAGTTTGGGGGTTTCTGACCACGCTCTATCCGAATCCGAAGAGAGCTAAGCTCTAGCTCCTTTCCCCTTCGAGTTGAATTCGGGACATGACGGACAGACAGACAGACGGACAGACACCCCTACCTTTTTATTATAGTTGATGGTTGATTGTGGCTGGATGGCTACCTTTCAGACAGATGTCTCCCGCCTCTTCTTCGTATCCTTTCGCCTCTACACAACAAACTTCAACAAAATATCGGTCGTAAGTTTAGATTAGAACCGTGGATTCGAGTAGGCGCGCTCTAATCCCCCGTCGCTGCGCGTACCGTCGCGTAGCCGTCGTCGAGATGGGGGAATTTTGTCGAAATCCTGCATTTCGTCCCCGCTTTTCGTCACTAACATCATGGCCGCCCTTTTGCGCGTGGTTCCCCGCCTTTTTTAGCTCCATTTTCCATTTTCCATTTTCGGGCGAGAAAAGAGCGATTGGCGCGCATTTTGATAGATTTTTAGGCGCTAAAACCGATTTTGGAAAAGCAGGAACGACGGTTTTCACACTTGGAATTCAACGTTTTACTAATTCCGAGATGATCCTACTCTTTTCGCACGTTTTTCTCTACCTTTCACTTGTTGAGCAGCATAATGTTTATGTTTTCAGGCAATAGAAAAGCGCCAAAGCCATGTTTTGTCCTTATAAAGCGTTTTTTTTACGGGAAACGGCTTTAGAAGTTCGATTTCGGCGCGTGATTTTATAGATTTTTAGAATTCCTAGAAGCGAAACCATTTTTGTGGCGCATTCTCCGTTTTCTAGCTGATTTTTATACGCGCCAGCGTTTTCCCGTCGATTTTCAGCTAGATCTCGCCCCGTCCCGCAAAATTCGCTCGTTTAGTCTTTTTAGCAGCTTACTAAGCTCCATTCTGATGTTTTAGGCAATCTAAAAGTTCTAAAGGCTGTTTTTTCGCCGGAAAAGGCGTAATTTTTACAGGAAACGTTTTCTAGAGTGTAGCTTTCGGCGCGTTTTTCTAGGTTTTTTTGGAATTTTTTAGGCGCGAAAGGCTTTTTGCATAGAATGCCGCGTTGTCGCGACGTTTTTGATGGGCGCTGCCCTTTTTCTGATCAACTTTTAGCCATTTTCCGCTCTTTTCTGCACACCTTTCTATGACTTTTCCGTTTTTCTGCAGATAGATGGGCGTTCTTGGTGCCAGCGGCGCGCGTCAAACAATTTCCCGTGTGCTGCTCACCGTCCGAATGTCGTCCTCATCATCGTCACCACTCCTCCTCATCAACGACCCCAAATATTCTTTCCTGAAAGAATTGGGGTTGAAGGAGGAGAATGCCGGCGTCTTCAACGGCCAATGGGCAGCCACGGGCCCTGTCGTCGAATCGGTGGCCCCCGCCTCCAACAGCGTCATCGCCAAGGTATCCAATTTTTGAGAGTTTTACATTGAATTGACGAAATCGGCTTTGAAAAGCTCTTGCTAGGCGTAGAGGCCAAAACTTTGGCTTTTAAAACTTCAAAAGCTTGATTTTTTTTGAACTAATAAGCTTAGTTTTTGAAATTTTAGGCTTGTAAACCTTTTAAACTGTGTCTTAAACGTCGAAACCCCAATTTAGACTTTTCATTTCGGCATCATGGCTTTTTCGCGCGCCGAGAAGCCCGGAAATGACGCGTTTTGGGGCGGAGAATGTAGATTTTTCAGCCAAACTCGTGGTTTTGCTCACAAAGACGTTTCTGACTGTTTTTCCGCGTTTAAATTCTCTTTTTCAGGCCCAAAAAGTCATGTAGTTTTCTTAATATGGCATTCTGCAGGTTTTTGAGCGCAGCTTCGTGATCGGCACGAAATTCTGAAGAAGATCGGCCTAAAATCGGTGTTTTTATACCCGAAAACTCGTCATTTCCAGGGCTTTCTCATGGCGGAAAAATTGGCGCAATCCGAGATTGCTGCCCCGAGATAGAGCGCGTTTTTGCGGCAATGTTCCCGTTTTTAATCTTTAGCGCGCCGGGCAGCCCGGAAATGACGAGTGTCAGGGCGTGAAGTGTCGAGTTTTAGGCCAAATCCGTGGTTTTGCCGACTAAAACGTTTCCGGGGGTGTTTCGGCGTTCAAATTCCTTTTTTTCAGGCCTATCTTCTTTAGATTCTCGCCGGCGATCACGAACTTGCCTTCGAAACTTGCAGAAACGCCCGTTTTCAAAGCAACCGGGCCAATTTCCCGGTTTTCCGGCTCACAAACCCGCATAATTTTGTGAATTTGGCATTCTGCAGGTTTTTGAGCGCAGCTTCGTGATCGGCACTTGCGAAATCGGCCTTAAAAAGCTCTTGCTAGGCTTAGAGACTCAAACTTTGGCTTATTAGGCTTTAAAAACTTCACTTTTAGAACTACTAACCCTGTTTTTTGAAATTTTCGACTTGTAAACTTTTTCAAACGGGTTTTAAACTTCTAAGCGATACTTTAGACGTTAAAATTCGCAATTTTAAACGTTTAAACTTTTTAAGACGTGTTTTTTTACTTAGAGAACGTCACTTTTTTTACTAAACCTGGTTTTTCAAACTTTAAACGTGTACACTTTTTGAACCGGTTTTTTAAGTAGATGACAATTTAGAAAAACTTCCCGTATTTATTTATTTGAAAATCGGTTCCTAAAAAAAATTAAAAAAACAAATCTTTTTGGCTTTTTAAATGGTTTTAAAGCTATTCGGTCTTTTTCAGGTGCAAAACGGGACGGTGGCCGATTGGGAGAAGGCGATCGCCGCCACCCAGCAGGCGCACAAGCAATGGAGGACGGTAACGCACACATTCCCATTCTCATTTTTCTGTTTTCCAGGTGCCCGCCCCGAAACGCGGCGAGATTGTGCGCCAAATCGGCGACAAACTGCGCCACAACCTCACCAACCTCGGCAAACTGGTAATGGGCGTTTTGGGACTCGGTTTTTAGTCCTTAAATTGTATCTCAAATCGATTTTTGTGGCTTTTCAAAGTAAAATTTTGCTCGGGATTTCGCGCTCGATCGGTTCCCTGCTTGAAATTTGCCGGCAAACATCGATTTCGGTGATTTTTACACAGTTTTAAATCCAAAAATCTTGCCCGCAGTTTTTGCGCCCTGTTTTTAGACCTTAAACAGTATTTTAAACCGAATTTTGCCGCTTTTAAAGGCAACGTTTTGTTTGGGAATCTCGCGCCTTGTTTTTCGTCCTTAAGTTGTGATTTTAAATCTATTTTTATAGTTTTAAAAGTAAAAATTTTCTCGGATTGTCGCGCTCTATCGTTCCCCGCCTGAAATTCAGCGTTCAAAATCGATTTCGGGGGATTTTTAAACGTTTTGAAACAATTCCGCCGGAAACGCGTTTTTTGGAGCTTTTTACAAGCCGAAATAAACGTTTTTCGGGCTTTTGGCGTGCAAAATTTGCTTTTTAGAGCTTTTCAAGCGTAGATTTGGCTTTTCTAGAGTTTTTCTTTGGCTAAAAACCCAGTCTTGTATGGTTTTTACAAAGTTCAAATGTTTTTGGAGGTTTGTGGCATCAAAAATTTGCTTTTTAAGACTTTGAGCAGGGGTTTTTGGAGCTTTTGAAGCTAGAATTGGGCTTTTATCAGCTTTGTTAGCTAAAAGCCGATTCCTAGGTAGTTTTTACAAAATATAGGCTTTTTTTGGGGTTTTTAGCGTAGAAATCTTTCTTTTTAAAATGTCTTTAAGCTGGTTTTGCAGTTTCTTAGCTTTTTTTGAGGGGGTTTTCGCAGTTTCTTAGAACTTTTGGCCAGAAGTGGGGTTTTGGAGCTGTTCAATTGGAAAATTCGGCTTGAAAGCTCGTTACCGTGTTTTAAATGTTTTTTTTTGGCTAAAAACTGCGCTTCCGATATGGTTTTTTCGGCTTTTTTTGGAGCTTTCTAGCCTAAAAATGCAGTCTTGTATGCTTTTTACAAACTACAAGCTTTTTAGGGGTTTTGGCATGAAAAATTTGCTTTTTAAAACTTAGAAAACGGGGTTTTTGGAGCTAGAATTGGGCTTTTGATGAGTTTTTTAGCTAAAAATTGCGTCCTATGTGGTTTTTAGGATATCGAAACGTTTTTTTCGAGTTTTTAGCGTGATAAATTTGCTTTTTAAACGGCGTTCAACGGAATTTGTAGTTTCTTAGCTTTTTGGGAGAGAAAATGGTTTTTCAAGCTTCACAAGCTTTCAAGAATCGACTTTCTATCGGCTTTTTTAGCTAGAAAAAGTGTTTAGCCCTTTTAAGCGGCCAATAAAACTTAGAAAATGGATTTTCGGAGGTTTTCTAACCAAAAACTGGGCCTTGGTTAGCTAAAAACCGATTCCTCTATGGTTTCCCGGAATTTTCGACGTTTTTTGGAGGTCCGGAACTGCCAAAAATTGAGTTTTTAACCCATATTTTTTGTTGCAGGTATCCCTGGAGATGGGCAAAATCCAGGCGGAGGGCATCGGCGAGGTGCAGGAATACGTGGACATCTGCGACTTTGCCACCGGACTCAGCAGGTAATCCCGATCTTACTTGTTGAATTCGGCTTTTCCAGGTCCCTAGCCGGTCAAGTGCTGCCCAGCGAACGCCCCGGCCACGCCCTCCTCGAGCAGTGGAACCCGTTGGGTCCGTTTTTTCCAGCCCAAAACAAGCGCAAAATGGCGTTTTTCCGCCTTTTTTAAGGTCAAATCGCGCTCAGAATTTTGTAATTTACCAAATCGCGCACCCTGCGCGTCAGCTAGCAGTTCAGCGGCGTCGAGAAAAGGCGCTTATTGGCTAGAGGGCGAAATTCTGAACACAAATTGGGGTTTCGAGTGCTTTTCCGCTTTTTATGCAATTTTTTAGACCAAATCTTGCTCAGAATTTCGCGCTATAGATTTTCCTGTTTTTAATATAGCGTCAAAAATAGATTTCGTTGCTTTTTAAGGATTTTAAAAGTCAAATTTTGCCCCAATTTTTGCGCTCTATTTTTATGCTTTAAAATTCTATTTTAAGCCGATTTTTATAGCTTTTCGAAGTCAGGTTTTGCTCAGAATTTTGCGCTCGATTTTGTATTCGTTGCAATTTATTTGAAATAGAGTTTTATCGTTTTTAAAAGTTACATTTTTTGTTCATAATTTCGCGCTCTTTTTTATGTTTTAAACTTAGATTTTTAAATAGCTTTTTTATAGCTTTTTTTTAGTGTGAAATTGAACGTTAAAAATCGATTTCGGTGATTTTTAGAGCTAAATTTAGCTCAAATTTTTGCCTTCTAATTCCAAATAAATTTGTTAAATTTCATTGTTTTGTTGCAGGCGTGGTGGGCATCATTTCGGCGTTCAACTTCCCGTGTGCCGTCTACGGGTGGAACAACGCGCTGGCGCTCGTCTGCGGCAACTCGTGTATCTGGAAGCCCGCCCCCACCACCCCGCTCACCGCTATTGCCGTCACAAAGTGAGTGCCCGTTCTTTGGTTTTTTTTTGTAGTTTGTAGCCCTGAAAAGGCTAAAATTTCGAGTAAAATTCGCTATTTTTGCTATTAAATTGTGGGTTTCTAACTGATTTTTGTCATTTTTCGGTTTAGGTTGTAGCCTGTAGTTTCGGCTTAATTTTGAGGGGTTTTTTGGAGATTTTTTATTTTCCATGTTTTGTAGATTGTAGTTTGTAGCCATCAAAAAAGGCTACGATTTCTGGGCAAATTTGCAATTTTTACGCTTAATTTTGGAGAGTTTTCGATAATTTTTGCGATTTGTAGCTTGTGGCCCTCAAAAAATGACAATTTCTCGTGAAATTCCTCGACTTTTTGGCTTAAATTTCAGGTTTTCCAGGTTTTGTAGCCTGTAGTTTGTAGCCCTCAAGGAGCTACAATTTCTAGTTTCGCGATTTTTAGGGCCGCAAATTTGGCATTTCTAGGGATTTTTTGCTATTTTGTAACCCTCGAAAAATGACAATTAATTTTGTATTTTAACTTAACAATTTTAATTGTTTTTTTTTCAGGCTTGTGGAGAGCGTGCTGGTGGAGAACAAGCTGCCCGGGTCGTTGTGCTCGCTGGTGTGCGGAGAGGGAGACGTCGGACAGGCACTCGTCAAGGTCCGTCAACTAGCTGGGATTCCGGTGGAATTTCCTGGGTTTTTTTAGGATAAGCGCGTGAACCTGGTGTCGTTCACCGGATCCACCGAAGTCGGGCGCATTGTTGGCCAGCAGGTGCAGGGACGATTTGGCAAGGTTTGTTGCCGGATTTTTCGAGTTTGTAGTTTATAGTCTAGGGTTTTTAGCTGTTTTGTAGTTTGTAGCCTTTTCCTAGGTATTTTGTAGTTTATAGTCGGATTTTTAAACCATTCTGTAGTTTGTAGTTTAGTATTTAGGAATTGTTTTGGCATTTTACACTTTGTAATCTCGATTTAGACATTTTGGAGTTTGTAGTCTGTTTTCTAGGCTATTCTGCAGTTTGTGGTCTTATTCTAGGTATTTTGGAGGTTGTAGTCGAATTTTTTAGTTAATTTGGAGCCCGTAGTCCCGATTTTTCGGCTTTTTTTTGGAGTTTGTAGTCCATACACTCCAATTTCTGCAGGTTCTCCTCGAATTGGGCGGCAACAACGCGATCATCGTCAACGACGACGCCGACCTCGACATGGTCATCCCGGCTGCCGTCTTTGCGGCTGTTGGAACGGCTGGGCAGCGGTGAGCACGAGCTTTTGGGGAGCTGCGTCGGGATTTTTGGACTCCTTGAAGACGTCGCGCGCGCCTCGGAAATTAGATAAAAAAATCATCATTAAATCAGCTGAAAAATGACGCCATCAACCTTTCGTCGCTGGCCTTTGAAGCGCGCGCGACGTCTTGAAGGTGTTCAGAAGCCTCGCCAAGGCGGTTTGAATTCTTGAATTCGTCGTGCGCGCTGCAGAACCTCGATGAAAAATGACGCCATCTCCCTTTCGCTGGTCTTTGACGCCCGCACGACGTCATCGAGGCGTTCAGAAGCCCCGCGAAACGTTTTGAACAGCTTGAAGACGTCTTCAACGCCTAAAAAATCCGCCTGCGAGGTCTAAGAAGGTCTTCTGAATCGCGTACGACGTCTTGGGGTCGTTCAAAAGCCCCGCCAAGCGTTTTGAACGGCTTGAAGTCGTCGTCTAACGCGCAAAAGACCAATTTAATCGCCGTCTTTTTCAGTTGCACAACAACACGCCGTCTGCTGGTGCACGAGAAGGTGTATGATGAGGTGGTGGAGAGGATGACGCGTGCCTATGCACAATTCGAGAGCCGTATCGGGGATCCACTCGAGGCGAACACCATCATTGGCCCGCTGCACAATCAGCATGGAGTGCTCAAGGTACTGTTCTCTTAGCGGGGGGCAATTGATTTTCCCATAATTTCCAAAAAAAAATAGATTTTTAAAAATTCTTAAAAACGGCCAAAAAATTTTCACATTTTTTATTTTCAAAAATGGCTAGAATTGTTTTTAGATTTACGGGGTAGTATTTTGAAAATTTGACATTTTACGGATCTTTTGCATTATCGGGGGAGTATAGATTTTCCGCGGTTTCAATAACTAGCAATACAAAAAATATACGATTTTTCGATTAAAATTCAGGATAAAAAATTTTTCCGTTCCAAATGTCGGTATTACGATGGCGTAATCTGTTGTAGTTTGTAGTCTACTTATCTATCTCCATTTAACGTTTTTTTTGCAGTACAAGGCGGCCATTGCCGAGGCGATCGCCAGCGGTGGGAAGGTGGCTTATGGAGGAAAGGTGAGGGAGAATTTCGATTTTGTAGTCTGTAGCCGGCAAAATGCTACGTTTTTGAGGGTTGTAGTCTGTAGTTTTTTGCCTGTTAGGGTTCGTAGCCGGTTTTTCACCTTTTGGGGATATTCTGCAGTTTGTAGCCTGTAGTTTTGCACTCCTTGAAATTCTGCAGTCTGTAGCGCACAAAATTTGCCATTTTTAGCTTTGTAGTCTGTAGTTTCTTAAAATATATTAATTTGGCTTTGTAGTTTTCGCTAGTTATTCGATTTTTAATGATTTTATTTTTAACTTTTCTTTGTTTGTAGGTTTCCTCATTTTCTGTAGTCTGTAGTCCATGAAATTTGGCATTTCGGCGGCTTGTAGTTTGTAGTTTGTGTTCAAAATGTACATTTATTTTAATTGATTTAAATTTACATTTATAGTTTTATAAACTTAAAAAGGCTATTTTATCCATGTTTTTTGCAGGTGCTGGAACGTGATGGAAACTACGTGTTGCCGACGATCATCACCGGTCTGAAGGGCGACGCCGAGGTGGTCATCAGGGAGACGTTCGCCCCCATCCTCTACGTCATCAAAATCTCCAATCTTGACGTCAGTCGATATTTTTTAATTTTTTACAACATTTCCGGTTTGAGGAGGCGATCGAGTTGAACAACAGCGTCTCGCAGGGGCTCTCCTCTTCCCTGTTCACCAACAACATCCAGAACGTCTTCAAGTGGATCGGGTCAGTTTCGACTCTTTATTTTGTGAAATTTAATGCAAGTTTTGATTTTTCCAGATTTAAATTTGTCAAATTTAGTATAATTTTCAATTTTTTTCAAAATGAATTTTTCTGATATTTAAATTCCGCGAAAACAAATTTTTTCAATTTAATTTTTTATTTTTAACTTTTAAAATATGTAAATTTTTGCAAACCTTTTACAAATATTTATGGCATTTTGCATTTAAATTAATTTTTTTAGGTAAAATCTAGTCGATTTCAAAAACAAAAGTTTTTGATGTTTTAAAATTAAATTTAACCTTTTCAGACCGGAAAGCTAAGAACCTTAAAAATTTAGATTTACGTAGAACTTTTTAGAAATTTAAATTTGCCATTTTTGGATTATGTTACAAGTTTAATTTTATCAATTTCTATTTTTAATTATTTTAAAATTTTAAATTTTTATATTTTTGATTATTTGTAGATTTAAATTTCCTACTTTATCTATATTTTTCGTTATTTTAAAAATTAAAAATTAAATTTATTAATTTTCAATATTTTTGATTAAATTCGCCGTTTGCAGGCCGGAGGGCTCGGACTGCGGCATCGTGAATGTGAACATCCCGACGTCTGGGGCCGAGATTGGAGGAGCATTTGGAGGGGAGAAAGAGACGGGAGGAGGACGAGAATCTGGCTCCGACTCGTGGAAACAGTACATGAGACGATCCACCTGTACCATCAATCATTCCAAGCAACTCCCCCTCGCCCAGGGCATCAAGTTCGAGTAGTTCAGCCCTTTTTTTGATGTACTCCTTCAACTCGTCGTCCCCTCGCCCTTTTCCGTCAAATTCGAGCAGTACAGCTAGAATGGGTGCTGCACTCCTTCAACTCGTTCTAGTAGTTCAGCCCCATTTTCTGTTGTACTCCTTGAACTCGTCGGCCCCCTTGTTTTTTTCCTCGTTGCCTTGTACGATAGAGTACGACACTGTACGCTGTGTAGCGTGGCGTACTGGACCGTATGGTAGCGTACTTTTACCCCCGGTTTTTGTGTGATTTTTCGTGCTTTTTCGACCCCCACGCCGATAGTTGGATTCTGTAGTTTGTAGCCCTCGTTTTTACTTCTTTGTTCGAATAAACGAGTTTTTAGCTGGTTACGCCGCAAAGAATCGCTGCTAGCTTCCTGTTGATTTTTTGGATTTTTAAAAATTTTGAAAGTAGGATTTTTTCGGGTTTCCGAGCCATTCCTCTTGACGCCTAGGGGTACTGTAGCGGAGTGATAAGTACGGTTAGAAAGAGGAAATCGAGTTCTATCAGCTAAGAAATGATTGGCTATCGTATCCTACCGTAACCCCATTTTAAAGGGGGCGGAAAGTTGGGAAAAATCCGAGTTTTAATTTTATTTTTAAGATTTAAATTTATTCATTTGTCAAAATTAACGGGCATAAACAGGATTTTCTGCGCTTTCCCGTCGCTACCGTACACCTGGAAAACTTTGAAATTTCCGCGCAAAATCATGCTTACCGTATGCCCATTTGGTACCCAGCGTAGCATCGCGGAATTCCGATCATCCACGCAGTAGTACGGTAGAATGGCCAGCCCAGGGCTACCGTACATTTTGGCGGCAATGTCTTGCATCAGGTGGGCGCTGGAATTGTATTTTGTAGTCGGCCTGTCGCTCCACCTTTAAAAGGCTTTAAATCTGTGCTTTGTAACCTGAAATTTGTAGTTTGTAGTTTGTCGTCTGGCTGTCATATCACCTTGAAAGCACGTTAAAATGGGGCTGTAGTTAGCCTGTAGTGTAGTTTTTTTGGATTTTGTAGTCTGTAGTCTAGAGCTAAAATTTACGCGTTGTAGTCTGTAGTTTCAGGTTTTTCCGATTTTGTAGTCTGTAGTCTACTGTAATTTCTATTTTTCGTATTTTGTAGCCTGTAGTCGCTCTGGATTTTGTAGCTTGTAGCTAGTTGTAGTCCGTAGTCTGTAGTCTGTAGTCTGTAGCCCGCCACCCACCGTATCCCTTTTCCGCGATGCTCCGGCAGTACGTGGAGATGTTGGACCATTCCCCGGTGGTCTACCGTAACCCAGCCGGCCAGCTGCTCGCCGCCGCGCGACCGCACGCACGACGAGGGGAGGGAGGAGAGGCGAATTCTAGAGACTACAAGCTACAAACTACACAAACTGGCGGCCAGACGACAGACTACAAACTTCAAAACTATATCCTGAGCGCCCGACTACAAACTATAGGCTACCAGACTACAAACTCCCCCTCCCGCACCTGATCCTCTCCGGCTCATCCTCGGCCGAATATGCCCATCTGGCGGCGACCAGTTCGGCGTCGTCGGCCCGTAACGTGTCCAGAAAATACCTGAAAATTGACCTATCGTACGATTTTTTGCGAATTTTAATGATTTTCACGATTTTTTTTAACATTTTGACGATTTTTTAAGCATTTTTAAAAAGATTTTTACGATTTTCTAAAAGATTTTCACGAATTTTTTCAAAAAGATTTTTAATTTTTGTAACATTTTTTTAAAGATTTTTACGTTTTTTACAATTTTACAATTTCCTTGGCTACCGTACCCCGGGGGCAGCGATTTCTCGGCCAGCTGACAGCCATTTGGAATGATGAACAGGGTGTCGAGGCATACGGTAGAATGGGTACGGTAGTTGTGGAGGGAGACGAGAAGGGTGGTGAGCTGGAAAAGGGGACAGGCTACAGACTACAAAAGGGGCTGCAAGCAGAAATACAAACTACAAAAACGCTTACTGGCTGCCGGGCTACAAACTACAGACCACAAAACGAGATCCTGAGCGCCAGACTACAAACTACAAGCTGCAAAACGTGTTTTGGACGCCAGACTACAAACTAAAGACGTGAAATTGTATACAGGCTGCCAGACTACAAGCTACAGACAACAAAACGTGTATTGGGCGCCAGGCTACAAACTACAGACTCCAAATCGTCTACTGGCTGCCAGACTACAAACTACAACCCCGAAACCGACCTTCTCGATCGTGTCGGCATCCCCCCAAAGGATCACGAGCTCGCGCTCCCGCAACACGGAGCCCATTTTTGTAGTCTGTAGCATGTAGTCGAGCCCGGCGGCTAGAAGACGCTCATCCCTTTCGCCCGCATTCTGGCAATACAGAAATGTCCTGAAATGAATTTCCCAGCTGTCGCCATCCCTTTAAAAATTCCTAAATCATCCCTGCTAGCTTGCCCTTAATTTTAAAAGGTTTAATTTTAAAGTCAAAATGCAAGACAGATTTTTCTGGAAAACCGGAAATTTTGGATTTTAAAGGGCCCGGCAAATCCAAAACTGAATTTTTCAGCGCTGTCACCATCCCTTTAAAATTTTCAAAAGATCCCTGCTAGCTTGCCCTTAATTTTAAAGGCACTAAGACGCCAAAAACCAGACAGCTAGCACAGATTTTTGTGGAAAATCGAAAACTTTCGATTTTAACGGGATTAGCAAGCCAAAATACTCCAAATTCCCAAAAAATCGCTGCCAGCCTACCCCAAATAATCCATCAAATAGCAATAATATCCCCCTTCGAGGCGCCAGATTTCAAATCGACCCAAGGGAATCAGGCCGGCCAACGCGATTTTGAGCGCCGACTTCAGCGGGGTCAGCTGGAGGCCGACGTCTTCGGGGAGTTCAGAAAGAAATTCGGCGAATTCAGCCGGGGAAGCAGCGTATTTTGGAGCCATCTGGAATGGATGAAATTGTAAAAATCCAAACTTTCACAAAGGAAAAAAGTCTTGTAAAAATTTTCGCAAAATTTAAAATTCAAGCTAAATTTTCAAATTTCATTTTTCTTTTTCAGGTTTCGTAAATTCCCCCATTCTTCAATGGGTTAATTAGCTTAAATTAATTTGAATTTAATCAATATGTTTAATCCCATTTTAATAAGGAAAAATGGCAAGCAAAAGGCCGTTTTAAAACCCGAAAATGTATATTTTCGAAATTGCAATCCGATTACGCGAGTAAATTTACAGGAACCGTTTATCGAAATAAAGCTACAAAGTACGCAAATTTTTACACAAAAAAACACACAAAAATGACCATCGAAAAAGTGAAAGGATAAAGAGAGCAAATTCCAGAGGGGATACACGTAATTTTCATTGTATAATTTAATCCATTTAATAAATCGGAAAAACACAGTAAGAAAATCGACTTTTCAAAATTCTCAAAAGTTCTCCAAATTTCGTCAAATTCGGCAAAAAATGGAATTTTAGGTATTTTCAACAAAAAAAACCAAAATTTAAAAATTAGGCCGAATAAATCCAAAAAATATTAACAATTTTTGAGCGCAAAAATTGGTAGTCAGGAAAGTGGCGGAATTTCGTAAAAATTGAGGAAAATCGGGTTTTGGGAAATGTTCCAAGGGATTGAATTTCCTGAAAAATTTTCAAAAAAGCAATTTAAATCGTCAATTATCGATTTTTGAGCGTAAAAATTCGTCATTAGGAAAGTGGCGGAATTTCGTAAAAAATTTGGAAAAATCGGATTTTGGAATTCTAAAAATCGATAGAAACCCCAAAAATGAATTATCGATTTTTCAGGGCGGAAATTCGTAATTTGGCGTGATTTGTAGGGTGTAGTCTGCTCAGTCCTTCCTCCGCAACACGGCAATCTTCTCGGTGATTTGGATCTCGGGGTAGGCGAGGGGGACGGGGAGATAACGGCCAATCGACGGCCATTTCAGCTTCCTGAAAAGGATAACGTAATCGATTACGCCACGAAATGCGACCTCCAGGTGACGCCGTGGAAGGCGGGCACGACGAACAGGACACGGTGCGTCGAGGTGTAGTTCGCCTGGACGAGCTCCTGAAAAAACGGATTTTTTTTTTTCTCGCTTACTCTCTCTCTCTCGCGCTCTCTCTCCTCTAGCCTCTAAAACCGGAAGCGAGCAAGAGAAAAGCAAGAAAAAGCAAAAAATTTCAATTTTCGAAAAAATCGGGGCCAAAACCCGTGGCCAAGTGGCTAGCGGCCTTGCCTACCAATCTGAGGGTCCGGGTTCGAGCCCCGGGACCTACAAACTTTTTGCTTTTTGCTCCAAAAGCTTAGAATCCTATTATCTGGGAGCCAGAAGCCGCAGAAAAGGCTTGCTTACCCTCAATTTCCCGTCATACGACCCGACGGCGAGAAAGTCGAAGCGGGTCAGCTGGGCGGGCGTCAGATTCTCAGTCTTGTTGTACCTGAAATCGCGGAATGTACGTAAAGTGGAACGAAACGTACTCCCAATCCGGATAGAGATGGAGGAATCTCGAGACCCCCGTCTGGCACGTCATCCCGTCCATATGAAGCGACAGGGGCTTCGCGGCGTCCATTCGTTGCATGTACTGAAAAAAACAATAGATTACGCCATGGAAAACAAACAATTACGATAGGAAAATCATTCGATTACGCCACGAAAATCAATGGCTAAATTCCGCAATTTTTCTGGCTGTCCGCGCGCCTTTAAAATGGCGTAACCGGTCCCCAAAACGCCATTTTAAAGGGGCGGCGACAGCCAGTAAAAGGGGGCGTGGCCAAAAGGGTAAGCTAGCAGAGACAATTTGCGGATTTTAAAGGCGCTGTGACAGCTAGAAAAGGGGCGGGCCAAGAGGCTAGCAGCGAGAATTTAGGAACCGATTACGTCATTTTAAAGGCGCTGTGACAGGCAGAAAATCGACCTGGCCAGGGCAAGCTAGCAGAGACAATTTTGCGGGTTTTAAAGGCGTTGTGGCATCCAAAAAAGTGGGCGTGGCTAGTAGCAAGCTAGCAGAGACGATTTGGGAAAGGTTTACGCTATTTTAAAGGGGTGGCGACAGGCAGAAAATCGACCTGGCCGGGGCAAGCTAGCAGTGACGATTTGGGCAATTTTAAAGGTGCGGCGACAACTCGAAAAATCGATTACGCGCGGAAACGTACCTGCAGATACGCGACGGCATCATTTCCCGGGTAATTCCTGGCCGAGGCGTAGAGGATGAAGGCCGAAATGAGGGCATTCACGGCCAAATGACTGGCCGCTCCCCAGGCGAGGGCCCATCGACGCCAGCTCTTCTCCTTGTTGATCCACCTGCAAAAAAATGTTGGACCGAATTTTTCTAGGTGTCCCTGCCATTTTAAAAATTCCGCAAAGCGCCGCTGCTAGCTTCCCGGGCTCCTAAAGTGTCTTTGCAAGCTTGCCCCAATTTTTACGGGGCCCGGCAAGCCCGGAAAAAGCCAACAACTTTTGCTTTAAACGGGTCGGAAAGTCAAAAATTCGACTTTTCGACGTGTCACTGTCCCTTTAGAGGGTCCTCAATCTATCCCGCTAGCTTGCCCTAATCTTTAAAGGGACCGGGAAGCTGAAAAGTCGATCAGCTGACCGAGATTTTTGCGGAAAATCGAAAATCGTGATTTTAAAGGGACTGGGAAGTCCAAAAAAACCAAAATTTCCGTTTTAAAGGCCCCGCAACCCAAAAATCACAAACTCACATTCTAGCGGTGAAGACGGCGGCGGGGAGACTGAGCAACGGGAAGGCGTAGATGATGAAGCGGAGCTCCTTGTGGGGGAGCAGCGAGTAGAGCGAGATGAAAATGAAGGGAGGTAGAAGGAGACGGGGCAGCCTGGAAAAAATGGATTAAAAATTAGCAAAAAATGAGGCAAAATCCGCAAAAATCTCTGCCGGCTTGCCACCATTTCCTGAAAAATCTCTGCTAGTAACCCGGGTCAGCTAGCCGCGTTTCTTTGCAGAAACCCAGGAAGGCCAGCAGAGAAATTTGCGGAAAATTCCTAAAAACCCTTGCAAAAAATCACTGCTAGTTTGCCTAGATTTTCCTCAAAACTTGCTGCTAGCCTGCCTACATTTTCCTCAATAATCCCTGCTAGCTTGCCTAGTTCGGGCAAAATAGCAGAGACAATTTGCGGAAAATTCCATGCTCCCTTACCTCCGATCGATGAGACACCCGAGAGGGATGAAGACGATTGAAGACAGCAGGGCTCGCGGGAGGGCCGAGTAGAAGTACCACAACAGCGGGGATACCTGAAAATAGAGAAATTAAAGTGAGAAAAACAAAAAAACTACGCCGAAAACTATGGTCAAGTGGTTAGTGGCCCTGCCTGCCAATCTGAAGACCCGGGTTCGAGTCCCGGCACCTACAAACTTTTGGCTTTTTGCTCAAAACGCCCAGAATCATTGATCTGGCAGCTAGAAAACTCTTTCCAAGGTTTCAAACCAGATTTTAAACCGATTACGCACTGAAAAAGGGTCTCGGGTTCGAGTCCCGGGACCTACAAACGTTTTGCTTTTTGCTCAAAACGCTCAGAATCACTGATCTGGCGGCTAGGAAGCGAGAGAGAGAGAGAGAGAGAGAGAGAGAGAAACTGACCCCATATTCGTGACTTCTGTTCTGCAACAGGTTAAAGTTGATGACGATCCCCTCGGGCCAGATTGGGTATCCCCACAGCAACGAGTCCACGGGTACGGTAACCACTAAAAAAATCGGATTTTTCTAGCAAAAAACCCGATTTACCTAGCGCCTTTAATGCCGTGGAAATTCCGGTGTAAATTGCGCCATTCTCTCCGAAAAGCGGGAGCTGGCCACGAAAAATCGAGGGGAGGAACAGCGGGGCGAACAGGAGCACGAGCTCGCATCTGAAAACGTGCAAATCATAGGTGTCGCCACGCCTTTAAAATGGCGTAATCGATTCCCAAAGCGCCTCTGCTAGCTTGCCAGCGAAAACACCGAGTGATCAGGGCTTTTCAAGAGAGCGTGACACCTCGAAAATGAGAATTTTCCAGCTGTCACTACGCCTTTAAAATGCCATATTCGGTTTGGCGGCGGCCGGGAAACTAGCCGAGGGCATTTGGGAATTTTCCCCGACTTGCCGAGCCCTTTAAAAAGGTTTTAGAGCCTAAATTTCACGTTTAAAGGTGGAGTGACACCTCGAAAAGGGGCGTGGTCTAGGGCATGCTAGCAGAGACCATTTGCGGAATTCAGAATCCCCCCAAAACGTACCGAAAAACGAAGGTGAACGCGGTGGCCCAGCGGACGGCCGACTGGAGATGACCATCCAGCCATTTCTGGTAGACGAACAGCACTGAAAAAAAACCGATTACGACATAAAATGGCCTAAAAAATCGATTACGCAATAAAAAGCACCCGAAAAAACCTATTACGCCATTAAAATGGTCTGGAAAAATAGATTAAGCTAGGAAACTAGCTTTTAAAAACCGATTACACTGCAAAATTCGGGCCGGAAAAACCCGATTACGCCATGAAAATGGGCTTTAAAGGGGCTCCGAAATCTGGTCCACGGCCCCCCTGCTGTGATTCCTGGCAAATAGCCAGATGCCGCTGCAACGCGACCGCGCCGCCTAGTCTTTTGCCCCTGTTTGGACGCGAAAACGCTTGAATTAAAAAATTCTGACGCTATTTTTGGAATGTTCACCGAATTTTGATCATTCCAGACTTTTAAATTATGAAAATTGACCAGGGAATCGCCGAGATCGAGAGATTGGGTGTCTTACAAGGCATTACGACTGGTAATCGCCGCGCACTCAAAATGTCGTTTTCGCCCCAGAAAGAATCCGGATTTTCTCAAATATTTTACGTTTTTTCGCAATTAAATCACTTTTCTGGCACTTCTCGGCAGTGACCCTTGCGTTCTTTGACCAGTAGGTTCAATCCCCGCACGCACTAATTTTGACTTCTGAGCCCCTTTAAAGGGAGCGTGACAGCTCGAAAATTGCCGAAATTCTGAATCTTTTAGCCTAAAATTCGTAAAAATCCTTTTTCAATCGATTACGCCATCAAATGCGCCTCCCAAAAAGCGGCTAGAACAACCGATTACGCCATAAAAATGATTCTGGGGTTTAAAGGGAGTGTGACACCCCCAAAAAAGGCACCTCCAAACAGGGCGAAAACGTTCGGCAGCGTGCGCGACGCGTAGAAGAGGAAGTGGAACTGCGAGGCGATCACCAGCCTGAAAATCGGAATTCCTCAAAAATCGCTGCTAGCTTGCCTCAAAAAGGTGGCCGTCTCGTCGCCGAAATGCTTGCGGACGCAGCGGCAAAAGTTGAGCAGCGCGATCACGATTGCCGAGCCGAGCACGAAACGGACTGAAAGAAATTGATTCCGCAACTTTCTCTGCTAGCCTGCCCCTTTTTAGGTGTCGCCGTGCCTTTAAAATGTGATAATCGGTTCTCAAATTGTCTATGCTAGCTTGCCCTCGTTTTGGCAATCTAGCAGAGGTCATTTTGGAAAATTTTCAGCGATTTTTACCTTTTTTTGACGTTTTAAAGGGAGCGGGACACCTAGAAAACGGTGGGCCATCAGAGAAAAAATTCCTAAATCGTCCCTGCCAGCCTGCCCTCGTTTTGGCAAGCTAGCAGAAACCATTTAGGAGAGTTTTCAGCGATTTCTAGCGTTTTTAGCCATTCTAAAGGCACAGCGACAGCCAGAAATCGGCATGCTAGCAGATACCATTTCGGAACCGATTACGACATTTTAAAGGGGCTGTGACAGCCGTAAAACCTACCAAAAACGAGCATCCACACCTTGTGGAGACTGAAGAGCCAGAAGAATGGACGGGCAGGGAGGGAGGAGAGGGCCAGGCACACCGGGCCCGAGAACGACCGAGGGACCACACCCGGGAATTCGTGGTGGTCGTACTGAAAATGACGGGGAATCGATTACGCCATGAAAATGCTCACATTTTCCAGTGCGATATTGTGGTAGATGAGGTCGTGGGTGGCCTGCACGTTGAACGATTCTTCCACCTGAAAATGGGTGTTAAAATACACGATTAAAATCGAAATTTCACGTTTAATCAATTACGCCATGAATTCCGCAGCGCCCGAATCGATTAGGCTATGAAAAATATGTATATTTACGCGAATAAAATAAAAATTCCATGCTTAATCGATTACGCCATGAATTTCAAAGCCCAGGAATCGATTACGCAATTGAAATCTCGTCATTACCTTCGTGCCGGGGGTGAGCAGGAGATGGAGCATCATCACGATAAACACCAGCCATTCCGAACCGGCTATGTTGTCCATTGGACCTCAAAAAAGGGGAAAATTAAATTCCAAAAACCGATTACGCGATGAAACTCGCAAAATTCGATTTTTGAAGCTTAAAAAAAAAAAGTAATTTTTAGCAAGTGTTCGGCTAAAAACTATCCGATTACGCCATTTAAATCAAAATAACTAGCCCGTGATCGTTTAAGCTATTAAATTCCACGTGAAACGAGATTCCGGGCCCCCAAAAAATGGCACAAAAACCCAATTTCCCGCCAGAATGCCCCCCGAAAATCGGATCTCGCTGCCCTCCCGCGCCCTGAGGGCATATTTGCATAAATGGAGCATAAACGGCAAGAGAAACGAGAAAACGACCGGAAAAACTAATTTTTCAAAAAAAAACTGATGGCCGGATCCATGGCTTAGTGGTTAGTGACCCGGCCTACCAATCTGGCGACCCGGGTTCGACTCCCGGCCGCGGAGGGGTTTTTGATTTTTGCTTAAAATTTTCAGAATCGGCTATTTGGCAGCCAGAAAGCGAAGAATGCCAAGAAAATCACGAATTTCCCATCGTAACGCAACAAAACCGCCACCAAATATTTCAGCGCAAAGCCAAGAGCGTTTCAAAAATCGATTACGCCACCAAAATATCACAGATTTATTCGCACAATTTACATGTCGTTAATGCAATAGAAAAATCTCGAAAATTGGGCAATTATTCGGGGTCTTCGGGTCGGGCTGAAGCCGCGGTGGGGAGGAAATCGACGCCCGGGAAGATGGAGGAGAACGAGTGACGGACCTGGAAATGGAGACAAAAATAGGTGGTAGGCTAGCAGAGGGCGTTTGGGAATAGGTTACGCTATGAAAATAGCTCAAGAAAATCGATTACGCTATAAAAATGGCGCTTGACCATCGCTTACGCTATAAAAATTACCTAAAAAACCAATTACGCTATAAAAAATTACCTAATTAAATCGATTACGCTATGAAAATAGCCCTAAAGCAATCGATTACGCTATGAAAATCGCCAAAAGCGGGGCAAGTCAGCAGAGAAGATTTGCGGAAATTCCCCCACCTTCTCCAAGACCTGGATGTAGTCCAAATTCCTGTCAATTCCCGGCAACACGTGGAAATTCGAGGGAATTGACGGGCCCGGCTCGAAATCTGTTGAAGCAGGCAGGGAGAAGCGGAGGCGGTAGGGTAGAGGCCGCGATTCGTCTGAAAAATGGCATCGATTACGACATAAAAATTCCCCGAAAAATCGATTATGCTGCAAAAAAATGCCTTCAGAAAATCGATTATGCCATGAAAACCGGCGTAGAAAACCGATTACGCGACGAAATTCCCCCGAGAAAATCCATTACGCTATCAAAACAGGCTTAGAAACCGATTACTCGACAAAATTGGATACCTGGAAATAGACGAGACTCGGCCTTTCGGATCGATTCCTCGTCGTCGGCGATCAGATGGGTGACAACTGGAAAAAGAGAGCGAATTCCGCAAGAATCTCGGCTAGTTTGCCCTCCGGCTAATCGATTACGACACGTAAAAAACGTACAGTATCCGGGTGCCGTCATCCGGTGCCCCATTTGCATCAGACGAGAGGAGCCTTGGTCGCCGAAACTCGTCAGGGCCACCTGGAAAACGAGAAAATTAAACGACTAGTGAAGACAGGGACAGGGGGCAAGCTGGCAGCGATTCTTTGCGGAAAATCAGGCCAGCCGGCAGAGATTCCTAGAGAAATCCAGGCTATCTAGCAGGGTTTCTTGAGGAAATTTGAGGCAAGCTAGCAGTGATTCTTTAACGAAAAATCTGTGGCCAACTAGCAGGGATTTTTTGCGGAGATTTGGCTGGAATCGGCAGATATTTTTCGGGATTTTCAGGGCAATCTAGCAGAGATTTTTTGAGCAGCAAAAACCGACATCAGCCTCCTTATCGACAAGTTGATTGCCGGCCTCGTTGGAGATGACGATCGATCGATATATCCTCTTCTCATCCACTTCATCTCTGCTTCCTCTCCATTCCCTTGGCACATATTCTGGAGATGAGAAGATGACGTCACAGCTGATCCTTCCCTCTTCGATCAGGACAGCCGACAGCCTGGAAATAATCAATTACGCCATGAAATTCGGGTCATAAAATCGAATACGACGTCAAATTTCGCCCGGAAAATCGATTACGGCACGAAAATCCATGAGAAAAATAGATTACGCTATAAAATTCTACGTAAAAAATCGATTACGCTATGAAAATCGCCTCAAAAAACCGCTTACGACAAGAAAATTTGCTCGAAAAATAGATTATGTCATAAAAATCATCTCAAACATTGGATTACGTCATGAAAATTCACCTGCCCTCCTTGGTGATGACGTGATCGATGGGGTAGCCGACCTTGTAGATGGCGCCGAAAACGGCTGCGTTTCTGGCGAACGCCTGGGGCAGCTCGCCGCATCTGAAAAAACATCAAAATTGCGAATTTTCCTAAAAATTCTAAGGACGAAAATAGCGCCTTTTGCAAGGGCAAGCCAGCAGCGATCTTTGGGAATTCACCCCGTTAGGAGGGGGGAAAGCGAGAAAAAGCAAACCGAATTTTTCAACAAAAAAAATCAGCGCCGAAACCCGTGGTCAAGTGGTTAGTGGCCTTGCTTGCCAATCTGACGACCCGGGTTCGACACCCGGGAGCTACAAACTTTTTGCTTTTTGCTTCAAAAGCTGGGAATCGCCAAAAATAGCCACAAAAAGCGTTACCGTACCCATATTCGGGTAATAGGAAGGGCGACGGGCAGTAGACACCAACACTGTCCATGATCAGGCAGATAGCTGTCAGACCCTGCAAAAAAATTGGATTATGGGCTCCGAAATGATCTCTGTCAGCCTGCCAGGGCCAAGGCCAGCTAGCAGAGACAATTTGAGGGAATTTTAGCCAGATATCAGTTTTTGGGGAATTTTCATAGCTTAAACGATTGAATTTTCTATTTTAAAGGGGCAGTGACACCTAGCTAGATCCTCAAAAACCTCTGCTAGCCTGCCAGGGCCAGGGCAGGCTAGCAGAAAGAATTGGGGAAATTGTACCTGTAACGTAGTCGGTTGGGGAGCCATCAATGCAATCATTCCATGAATCAGTGCCTGCGTCTCTGCCCCCATCGAATATTTCTTTGTGAGAAATTCTCCCAGCGGCCGGTGGCAGTACTCTAAAAACCATTAAAAATGGGATTTTTCGAAAATTGCCACCTTCGAGTAGGGCGGGACCTTGCGTGGCGTTCCACCCCGTGCAGAACTCGAGGAATTTCATGAAGCGCCGCCGGTCGATTAGGCTCCTGAAAAAAAGGAGGAATTTTATGGCGTAATCGATTTTCCTAGCCAAATTTCCTTGCATAATCGATTCTATGGTTCAAATTCCATCACGTAATCTTTTTCTAAGTGAATTTCATAGCGTAATCGACTCCCGAAGACGAACTATATGTCGTAATCTATTTTTCTGAGCCGAATTTCATGCCATAATCGATTTTCGACGACGAATTTCAGGCCCAAATCGATTATCTAGGTTTGAATTGCCTATCGTAATCGTTTTTAGGTTACATTAAATAGCGTAATCAGTTTTATGCGACGAATTGCTTGCCGTAATCGATTTTGAGACGAATTTCGAGCCTCATTCCAATCGTAATCAATTTTTTGGCCCAGTTTCTTTGCGTAATCGATTTCTAGAGGCGAATTTCATGCCGTAATTAATTCTCGTAGCTATTTCCATGCCGTAGCCTATTGAAAATCGCAAAAAAACTCACTTCAATCGATCCGTAGATGATATTTGATTCTTGGTGAGGGGTATGGGTTCGAAGGCCATCGTCTGGGGCTCGGGTTCGAATAGCACCTTCCTGATCGGCTTGAATTCGAGGTATTTCGAGACGCCGGAAGAGAGGAGCGCCTTCACCATCGCGTCCCGGGCGGTTAGCACCTAGAAAATAGGTTGCGTAATCGATTCCTCAAAAATCGCTGCTAGCCTGCCCTCCAATTCCGCAAAGAATCTCTGCTGGTTCGCCTAATTTCGGCGAGAATCTCGACTAGTTTGCCCAATTTCCCCCAAAAACCTCTGCTAGCTTGCCCTATGTTTTCCAAATTTCCGCCAAGAATCCATGCTCGTTTGCCCTGCCGAATTCCTCAAAAAAAAATTCCCGTTAGCCTACCCGGGCATGCTGGCAGAGACAATTTGCGGAATTCCAAAAAAATCCCCCAACCTTTGGCATCAAATCGAACTGAACGCGGCGGAATCTTCCTGTACTTCTCGAGGGCGTCGTCCAGGATGTTGGCTGCGGAAAGGCCGCATCTGCAAAAAAATGGATTTTCATAGCGCAATCGAATTTCATAGCGTAATCGATTAATTGGCGCTTTTTCTGCGTATTTTCATAGCCTAATCAATTATACAGGTTGAATTTGATGCCGTAATCGATTCAAAAAGTTAATTTCGTGCCGTAATCGATTTTTAGAGGACTTTTTCATAGCGTAATCGATTCTTCAGGTTTATTTTCCTGCCGTAATCGATTAATTGCCGCTTTTTTGTCCGTTTTAATGCCGTAATCGATCATCCATAGCTCCGAGCCTTCAAAACCCCCTTTAAAGCCAAAACGCACTCCTCCAAAATCGTGCCCCCATCGCTGAAATCCCGAACGGCGCACTCGCAGCCAAGCATCACCGCTTGCTCGCCCTCTTCTAACTAAAAATGGGGAATTTCATATCGTAATCGATTCCCCTACCGTAATCCCATCCGGTAAAGTGGGCGTGGCGTGGCGCGTGAGCGCCTCGAACCACTCGCTGCGCGCCGTGTGCAGACTGAACGAGGCCCAGTCGCCGCCGTAGTAGTTGCGTCTGCAAAAAATACATTGTTAACATTTTCACGAAATTTATATGTGGTTTCGGGGCTCCTAAAATTCTCAAAGGATCTCTGCTAGCATGCCAACATCTAAGAAATTATTATTTGAGCCAAAAACTTGCAAAAAATAAAATTTTGCAATTTTTTGGATTTTCCCGTCCTCCCAATCTGCTTTTATTGATTTTTCTAACATTTTCGGGGGCTTTGTTGAGCTCCAAAATTCCCCAAGAATCTCCGTTAGCCTGCCTAGGATTTAGAAAATGGATTTTTTAGCCCAAAATTGTTTAAAAATCGAATATTTTTAATTTTTGCCTATTTTTTTTGTAATTTCAGCTTTAAATTGGCTCAAATAGGCGCTAAAAATTGAGAAAATTGGGTTAGGAATCTAAAAAGTGCTCTAAAAGTCGGGCAAACCAGCAGAGACCATTCAGGAATCCCGAAAACAGTTTTAAATACTTTTTTAAAAGACGAACCGATCCAAGTGCAAAACGGTTTTGCCGGCCTGCGCGCACGCCGCGGCCATGATCGTCTCGGGGAGCCCGGTGCCGAGGATGATCACGTCGAAATGGGTCGGCAATGCTTCTGTTGACGCCATCTGGAAATGGAGCTATTAAAAGAAATAAAATAGGCAATAAAAATGGAAAACACCCTAAAAATCCGAGCCGAAAATTCGAAAAAATTCCGAAAATCGGTTTTTAAATGCTCTAAAACTTTATAAAACCACCTTGCTAGCCTATTTTTAAGCGCTGATTCCGAATCTGCACGCGGTTTTTATTATAAAACTGTAATTCTCCAGTAATAACCGATTTTCTCCGCTAAATTCATCCTGCATAGCTTTTCCGCTCAAGGAATTGTTAAAAATACGAAAAACTGCGGCTCCTAGCCAAAATCAGGCTGCGGATTCGGAATCAGCGTGAAAAACCGGCCTAGAAAATCTATTTTTCATTGCAAACTGCTTTCAAATAACCAAAAAAGAAGGCGAAACCGGGGCGACTCAGAAAACCCCAAAAATCTCGACATTTTTTAGCAAAATTATGGCAGTTTAAGGCATCAAAATGCTCGTAATAAGCTGCTGTATCTTTTCTGAATAATATTATAGCCTAAATATAACAATTCAACGTTGTAAAGCGCATTTTATTGGTCTGGCGCCGATCCAGATTTCATTATCGGGCTTTCCGGGGCCTAACGCTGCAGGGAGGGCACAGAGTCGCGGTGTGCTGAGTAGCGTGCCGTACCCACTCGCCAAGCAACGGAATGTTCAAAACTTGCTAAAACTCGTTAAAATAGAGCTAAAATAAATTTTTTTTAATTACAATAGATGCGCTACTTGGCAGTTAGGGTGATGCCACGCAAATATTTCTAAAAAATCGTTGCCGCTTTGCGCTACAGCTTTTTTCGTCAGGTGGCTCTTTCAGATTCGTAGTCTGTAGCCTGTAGCCTGCAGTTTTCAAACCTCAATCAGCTCCAATCAACGCCCCGGTTGACAGTTAGAACGTTTCCACAAGAATATTTCTCAAAAAGCGTTTCCGCTTTGCTCTATAGCGCTGCTCGCTGGGCTGCCGGTCCAAATTCGTAGTCTATAGCTTGTAGCCCATAGTTTTGAAAGCTCAATCCGCCCCAATCGACGCACTGGCCGTCAGTTTACACAAAAACGTATGAAAAGTATGTCGCACATAACATTAAAGCGTTTATTTCATCGTCGGCCCATGCCAAGCATCACATTACGATATGAAAATAGTAGGCAGTCGGGGTGGAAGGCAGGGCAGAACATTTCGCGGTAAATTTGGGTCTGTCTTCTGTGTGTGTGTACTTGTGCATTAATGGGGGAGAGGGGGAGGCCTTCAGAAGAATCCATCGCCCAGTCGATTCATCTGCAGCTGGTCCCTCTGCGCGTATTTCGTCAACAGCTGCAGGAAACGCGAAAACTTGGACTCCTTCTCGGGGAGGATGGCGTCGACGCTCTGCAAAAATGGCGCAGTCGGTTACGGGTTTCCGTTCTCAGGCGAATGACGCGGGTTCGACTCCCGCGCGCGACAAACTTTTTGCTTTTCGAAAAATCAAGATTTTTTGGCGAAAACGGACTAGCTGGATGCCAGTTAACAGCTCTGACGCAATGGCGCAGTGGGTAAGAGCCTAGATTTTCAACCGCATGACCCGGGTTCGACTCCCGCGGGCGGCAAACTTTTTGCTTTTTAAAAAAATCAAGATTTTTCGATGCTAATGGACTAACTGGCTGCCAGTTAACAGCTCTGCGGCAATGGCGCGGGTCGCTAGGTCCCTGGATCCCACGACAGCAGCTCGGGTTCGATTCCCGGCCGCGGCAACTTTTTGCTTTTTGCTTTTTGCCCTTCGCCGATGGATACCTGCATGGAGAAGATGTGCTTGGTGATGGCCAGGTAGAGGAATTGCATCTGGACGGCCGACTGGACGGCGTGCATCCGGAAATTGCGGGTGGCCGTGATGCAGCTGGGGATGGAGACGGCCTCCACCTTCGCCGAGTGCAGACGCCAGTGGGCAAGCTGCAATGGGCGAATTTTCTTTGCTAGATAGGTTAACTGGATGCCAGTTAAGCGATTGGGTACAAATTTTGGTTTCCACAAAGCGTCTTTGCTGGTTGGCTTCAGAAAAACTGGTGAATTTCGCGATTTTTCGTAAAAAAATCGATTCTTTTTTCTAATTTTCCAAATTCCCCAATGTTCTCTGCCGGTTACCTGGAAGGCAGCAAAAGTGCCGGCCCTTCCCCCTCCACTCAGGCTCATATAGACATGGGGGTGGCGGTAGCGGCGGAAGATTGCCTCCAGTTGCCACATTTCCTGAAACACACGAAAAGGGGTACGGTAATTGTCATTTTTTGTTTTTCGCTACGGTAATCACGTTTTCGGGCCTTCTGGCAGACAGTTAAGCGAAAGGCATACCGCTTGTGGCAAAAACGACAGGCGCTATCCCCAGAACTACAGACTACACATGACACCAAACGACACGCACCTCCATTTTGCCGGGCCGCCCGTTGTGCAGCCAGTCCGAGTAGTGATGGACGTGCACGTACCTCTGGCGATGCCCGTGCTTGATGGTGTAGACGGAAAGGGACCAATTGGCCGCCACCTCGACCCTCTTCACGCAGCCCACCTTCAGGTGGTTACGGTAGTGGATAAAGTCACTGCAAACACAGGCAAAAGGGTAGATCGCAAATTTTTCTGCCGGAATGGCTCAACTGGCTGCCAGCTAACTCGAAACTACCGTACCCCTTGCTGGGGAAGACGTGCTCGGCGCCGAATCGGCCGTACTCGGCGGGGCTGAGGATGAGCAGGATGCCCTGCACCTCATTCTGGAGACACATCTCCCAGAAATCGGGGGCAGCAGAGGGCACGGGTAGCTGCGTCACGATCGCCTTCCTGCAAAAGACAAAAAAAATCGAAAAAAAAGTTGTGCAAGTAGGGCAAAAAGCAAAGAATTTGCCGCGGGCGGGGGTCGAACCCGAGACCCTTATAACTTCAAAATCCCTTGAGGAAAAGTGATGCGATTTTCAGAAGCGCTAAACTGCTAGGCAAGAAAGCCAATTCGGCAAATATATTACGAAAAATTTCAGAATTTTTCAAAAAACAAAAAATTTTGCCGTGGGCAGGGGTCGAACCCTCGAGCCTCATTTCTCGAAAACCCTTGAAGGAAAAGCTTCCAAATTTTCAGAATCGCTGAACTGGCATGCAAAAAAGCCAAATTCTGGAAAAAATGGTCAGGAAAAGCAAAAAGCAAAAACGTGGCGCCGGCAGGATCCAAACCCTCGACCCCTGCGATTATATGGCGTAATCTATTCCCCCCAGCCACTGACCTATCCTCGCCGACAGCCACCCACGACGCGTGAATGTAGTCAGAGTGGGTCTGCTCGAGGAAGACGCGTGTCTGGTCGATGCACACCATGTCTGCAATTTCGTGGCGTAATCGATTGACGTAAAGGCGTATTCCCGCGGAAATCAGGGCTCTCGGTTGGGATTTAAGGGGTTTGGGCCCCTCACTGGGTGCCAGTTGAGCAAAAGCCATGCCGGCAGACTCCAAACTACACCCCGTTCGCGTGCTGGAATTGCCGCGCGTAATCGAATGGCCTGAAGGGCGACAAAATCGATTCTAATTTTTCTAGAAGCGTCAAAATTCTGATTTAAACTGCTTGTGCCCTTTACTGGATGCCAGTTTAGCAAAAACCATGGCCCAAACTACAAACTCCGACCTACAGCCCCCGGTACCGTACCCTGGAATCGATTTTTGCCCGGGTTGGCGTCAAAGTCCATGCGGGTGGCGGCGACGGGAAGGTGGTCCTTCACCAGGCGCCACTGTGTCTCCATTCCCTGCAAAACACCGTGGAGTTTGTAGCCCAGATTTGCTCGCGTAATCGGTTGCCCGCTGCCTCACCTCAATGCCCAGCTTGAGGGTGTTGTCGACAAAGTTGCGCAACTTGGCCATCTGCCGCTCATCGGGATCTCGGCCACCTCCTCCTCCCTTTCCCTTCTGCGACTCCTTGACCGTCTTGTCCTCGTCACGGGGCGGGGCCACTTGTTGGAGTTGTGGCTGGGTGGAGGCGGTCGTCGACAGGGCCGAGCTAGGCGGAGGAGGGGCGTCTGAAAACATGAATTTCACGGAGTACCCGTTTCGGAGCGGGGTTTTCGTGGCGTAATCGGCTAAACTGACAACCAGTTCATCCCTAGAAATCAAGAAAATCCAAAAATTTCAACTTTAAAGGGATGGTGGCAGCTGCTTTTTGGATCGTCGCCAAGCAATTACGTCGCGTAATCGACCAAATTTTGGCGTTTTCGTGGCCTAATTGGTTAGACTGACATCCAGACGATAATTTAAAACCAAACGAGTTAGAAAATTCATGTTTTTAAAGGCGTGGTGACAGCAACGTCTTCTAGGAGTTCAGACGCGGTAAAGTTTCGGATTTTGATAGTGTAATCATTAAAACTGGCTGCCAGTTAGCCCTTTCAAAGGGGTGGTGCCTCTAAAGAGTGGCCCACTCTGCAGCAGCTGCTGCTGCTGGAGGAGGGCTGTGGTGTTGGCGGTGGTGGTGGCCGTCGTGGGCAACTCGGTCGGGCGCTCACTCTCCGAGGCCGGACGAGCCTAGGGGAAATCGGTTACGACATGTAGTTTGGGTGTAGTTTGTAGCTGCAAAGGGTCACTGCTAGCTTGCCGCAAAAAAATCCGATTACACCATCTAATGAAACGATTACGACATGTAATTTTTGTCGTTTGTAACGGATTGGGAATCGGTTGCGACATGTAATTTAGGTGTATTTTGTAGTCTTCCGCAAATTATCGCTGCTAGCCTGCCTTAAAAATCGATTACGCCACCAAATCCTACCGGCGATGGCGAGCGTGGCTGCCCTTTTCCGGCTGCGTGGCTGCCCTGTTTGTTGTGATGTCGTGGGGATGGGTAGAAGCCGGGGCTGACCGCCTTCCGGTGGGCGTGGCCACTGCTCAACTGCTGTTGCTGCTGCTGTTGGTGGTGGTACTTCTTTTGGTTCGGCTGGAACATCCGGTTACGACACGTAACCCAAGCCTGAGCCTACTTTGGCAGCTTATAACCTTTTCTAGGAATTATATACCGTAATATGATAAGCCTCATTCGAAAGCCCGTGAAAAACGCTACAAAATGAGCTAAAAATCACTAAAATCCGATATTTCTACGCCACGCTATGCTCCATTGTAGTTTGTAGCCCGAGGGCACAAACTTTAAATGGCTATAACTCGCGCTAGGATTACGGTAGCGTAATGATTTAGGTATCATTCGAAAGCCCTTGAAAAACTGTACCAAACCAATATTTTGTTGACATTAACCCTCATCACAAAAAATCAAGAAATAAAAAATTGCCTTAGCCTATCGATCTGGCTGATTTCCATGGACGACCTCTAAGCCTAAGCCTAACCTAAGCCTAAGCCTAAACCTAAGCCTAAGCCTAAGCCTAAGCCTAAGCCTAAGCCAAGCTGTACTGCCCGCCAGTCCACCCCCTACCGAAGTGCTTGCGTTGCGGTCGCCGCGCGGTCCGGGCCCTCCCGGCGCCCTCTCGCTGGCGGTGGCCGTCACGATGGCTTGGCCGTGCTTCGTGGGCGTGCCGCGGCTGTGCGGGGAGCGCCCCGGGCGCGTGGCCTTCCGCGGCCGCGAGACGCGAACGCCCTGAAAAACGTTGGCCTCAATGCCCCAATGATCTCTGATCGGTTGCCTAGGTAATTAAATCGCGTAATCGGTTGCGAAATTCGTGCTCAATCCATCAAAACATGCTCAAAATTTTTCAAAATTGTCATTTTTAGCTCAACTGCCATCCAGTTACGCTATATAAATGCCCCGGGCTCGAAAAACCCCTAAGGATTACATGGCGTAATCGAATGCCCCGAGTTCGGCTAGCTCGGGCTCAAACCATCAAAATTTGCTCAAAATTCTTCGAAATTGTCATTTTTTACTTTTCTGACATCCAGTTACGCCATATAAATCGAAAACTCGACGGAGCGTAGCGTACAGCGCGCGGAGAGTTGGGGTAGACGACCTGCTGCCTGGCCTCTTGGTGTGTGTCCCTCACCAGCACAACACCACCCGCCGCACCACCATTCTTCGGGCTCGGCTGCTTCGGGGGAGCTTTCTGGAAGGAAGCCAAAAATATACTGTAGATTAAATGGTCTCTGCTAGCTCGCCCGCTCAAAAAAATATCAAAAAATTATGTTTTTGCCGCATTTCGGGGGTTTTCGCAATCGATTACACCATTAAATTCAGAATTCGAGTGGAATACTGTAGATTTGGTTTGTCTGCCTGCCAGTAAAGCCGAATTGGCACAGAAATTTCCGAAATTTCCACAATGTCCTCTGCTAGCCTGCCTAGAGCCCTCCAGCCCTTCCAGCGAACCGATTACGTCATTTAAACGAAAAATTGCTGAGGTTACTGTAGATTCGGGTAAGCTGCCTGCCAGTAAAGCTGAATACTCAGAAAAAAAAACGCAAAAAACTATTTTCTACCGGAAATTTGCCCTTGCTGGCGCTTTTGGGAAGTGGCGTGGCCTTCTTCTTGCGCATGCCCGACATCGACGAGTACGAAGAGAGAGAAGAGGGGTGGTTTGGGAGGAAAAGCCGAGTGGGAGGGGCGCGAAAAATATGGAGTCGTTTAATTTACACCTTCCCCTCAGAAACCGGAATTTCCTGAAAATTCTAGGCTCAAAATCAAGATTTTTATGCAAATTAGCCCTTTTTCGGGAAGTAGGCTAGCAGCGTCCATTTTTGGAATTGAAATCGATCAACTGTCGGCCATCTAGGCGATCGGTAAGCTAGCAGAGACCATTGGACAAAAGAAAAAAATCGAAACAGTACAAATTCGTGTTTTTCCGGGCTTCTTGATGCGAAAATTCCACTTTTCCTCAAGGGCGGTCTAGCAGGGACCAATTGGGAAATTGGAATCGTTTAGCTGACTATCTACGACCCAGGCAAGCTAGCAGGGACCATTTAGGAGATCTGGTGATCGAAGTTCGGCTTCACCCTAAGCTTCTGATAAGCTATTTGGGGTGAAGCTCCCGAAAACAGCGGAAAAGGGCAAACCGGGGCCACCCCATTGTTCGCTTTGGGTTTTTTTGGCTTATCTGGCCTATCCCCCCCAAATCCGTTCCATTGTTCCATTGTACACCTATTGACACTTGGCTCAATCCTGAAAATTGGTCGCTGGAAGTGTTTTTCGCCTAACTGGCTGCTAACATGGAACTTGATGTCGTAATTTTGGCGTTTCCTTCGGTCTGCCAGCCAGGCAAAGCAATGCGACCGTTTTGACGCCAGCTAATTGTTTATTTTTCCGGTTGACACCTGATTCCGGCAGACTAGAAATTGATCCCTAGAAAATGATGGTTTTCACGTGTACTTTGTAGTCTAAAGGAAATTTGAATAGTTTTTTTGATTGATTTGTGCTATCTAGCATCCAGAAAAACTATTCTGATAGTGAAATCCTATTTTTAACGCGTTTAGCTGCCAGGCGAACGACCCGGGTTCGAGTCCCGCTGGCGACAAACATTTTGCTTTTTGGCCTTTTTTCCCGAAAATTGTGTGGTAAAGGCCCGACTGGCAAGCAGTTAACAGTTTCACAGCAATGGCGCAGTCGGTAAACGCCTAGATTTTGAACCACAAGGCCCGGGTTCGACCCCCGGCAGCAACAATCTTTTTGCTTTTTGAAACTGACTGATTGCTCGTGCTCGTGGGAGCAAATTTCCCGACCGGGAAACCGGCAACACACCGCACAGAGCGTGGAAATCGGAACATTTCGATGCTAACCGGCTGGTCAGGGGGAGAGAGGGAGAGAGAGAGCGACAGCTGAGGGGCCAGAGAAATAGACATCTCCGAGTTTGGAAAAACCACGTTCTAGCCTGTCGTCCAATTTGATACGGGGGCAAGGCCATTCGGTCCTCACGTGCTGCTCCCCAGAAAAAATTGACCCCCCCGACCCGAAGTAGCCAATGCGGAAAACAGTCCAAACATCCCTTTCAATGTGAATTTTCTGGTTCTTCATTTGTTCTTAAGCTTATTGTCTGCCAATTTAGCGATTATTATTATAACTTTAACAATAACTACTTTTAAAAAAATTTTTGAAGCCTGCGTTTTTGCGAATCTTCGTTTTTCCCATTTTCCGGTCAATTCCTCTTGACGCATGGGGGTACTGTAGCGGAGTTATGGATACCATTCGAAAGAGCAGATTGAGTTCTACCAGATTCCAAATTATCGGCTACCTTAACCTAACGTAACCCAACTTTTAACGCCCCTAAAGTTGGTAGAAATTGCGTTTCTCGAGTTCTCAACTTTCCGAGGGACTTATCTTGACGTTTGGTCCTACCGTAGCGGAGTTATAGACACCATTCAAAAGAGGAGATCGAGTTCTATCTGATCCCAAATTCTTGGCGCAAACGGAAACACCTGGATTTTGACCCTCACAACCCGGGTTCAGCCCCCAGCCGAAGCGAACTTTTTGCTGCTTGCTTTTTCGCTGAAATTTTTGTGGATTCAGCTGAAACGGAAGCCAGTTAACATTTCTAGACCATTAGCGCAGTCGGTCAGAGCCCAGATTTTTAGTCACAGGGTCCTGGTTCGACTCCCGGACGCAACAATTTTTTGCTTTTTGCTTTTTGAGTCTTTGGTGAAATTTTTGCGGAAATAGGCTATCTGGATGTCAGTTAACACTTCTATAGTGTTGGCGCAATCGCTTAAAGCCTAGAATTTCAGGCGCAGGGTCCGGGTTCGACCCCCGGGAGCGGCAAGCTTTTTGCTTTTTGCTATTTTCGTCAAATTTTAACGAATTTGGTTTAATTTTTGGGTTTATAAGTGACCATAGTCCATTCGCCAGACCCACGTGCCCTCCACATTGCCTTTTTTGCGGCTTAAAGGAGTGCCAAGGGTCATTCGCCCAAATCGGGCGAAAACGGCGCGGAAAAAGATAAGTCTAAGCCCCTTCCCGCCGCTTATCACCTCGTTTTTTTTTATTTCCAGCAATTCTCACCTCTTTTCTGCCAGCCAGTGCACCCAAAGATGCCCTCAAAACGGAAAAAATCCGAGAAAATGACGAGACAGTACCCCTGGGGCCGTTTGGGGGTACTGTAGCGCCTCGACCTTGCAATCTTTTTTGAATTGTTTTTTTAATGGAATTCGCTAACCTGCCAGGCAGAATGTATAATACAACACTTTTCACAAAATTTAATTGACTATTTATTAAAAACGGAAATTTTGAGAATCTTGAAAAATAGCATTAGTTTAAAATCGATTTTTTCGTCGGAAATCGGTATTTCTGCTACATTTTTTTGTGTAATCCGTTTAGCTGCCAGACAGTACACGGATTTTTAATGGTTTTCTAAAATTCAATCCGCAAATTTTTGCCAAAATATACAAATAGAGGAATTTTTTGGTTTTCAGAAATTCCAAAATGCTTTGCCGCCGGAAATCGCTGGAAATCGTGACGCGCTGCTGCCGGTACGTTTTATTTTAAAGCATAAAAACATATAAAAGCAATTTCAGACAAAAATGAATATCTTAGACAATTTTTAGCCATTTGTCGACTTTTTAAAGGGACGGTGACACCCTAATTTCCTGACCTCGATTAGACATAATTTTAATATCTAATCTAAGAGAATCTAAGACATAATTTTTGCTTAGATTGGCCAGCAGCAGCCAAGCGCAGGCTCTACGCGACAACTACGACGTTTCAAGGGACCAGGAAGCCTTGGAGGGCTGTGGATTCTACCCCAAGGTAACAACCGGTTACGACATGGAAATGGAAAATACGAAAAATCGAATTTGAATTTTTCTTTTTGGAATTGGCTTATCTGGAGGCTAGCTGAATGCATTGTAGCAAAATTTTTACGAAAGGAGGTGTATTTAGTACTGTAGCGTTTTCATGGCGTAATCGATTGGGTTGGGGCGAGAAATAACGATTTTTTCGATGTTTGAAATAGGATCTTGGATTCAAAGGTTGTAGCTTGTAGCCTGGCTGCCAGCTTGCAGCTTAAAACATCGAAATCTGGCTTTTGGTTAAGTACGCGGGAGTTCGGTAGTGGAAAGCAACGTACTACATGAAAATACCAATATCGATTTTTTGAGAAAATTTTGATTTTATGCAAAATTCTGAATATGGTATTTCGTAGGCTGGCTGCCAGTTTGCAGCTTAAAATGCCGAAATCTATATTTTAGCTACAGTACGCGGGAGTACGGTACCGGAAAGTAACGTGCTACCTAAAAATTAAAATATGCTTTTTTATGGATGTTTTTTCAGTCGGCCTTCCCTCGTCTGATCCCTCCCCTCATCCGCACTACCTCCACCTCCCGCCACTT